TATAAAAATATATAAATATTTAAATATTTATAAGAAACAACATGAACAGGACTATTTAAATGATGATGTTGAGAACCCTTCTAAAAGGTTTGTTGCTTTCTGAAGTAGAACTGTTTAAATTTAAGCTGTAATGATTACAAAAAATGCTGAATTGGATAGGAAATGGTATGAAATTAAATCTATGGAAACAATGTACTCTTTTTAATGCTGTTCCATGCTTAAGTTGGTATTAAGACATAAATGCCTATCTCTGAGTGTTTCCGTAGGATGGATCAGCCGCACTCAGTTTGAAGAGACTTGGGCTACTTTGCTCGGTGTGCTCGTAACTCAGCCTATTGTAATGGACCAAGAGGAGAACCAACAAGAGGTGATGTCATTCACCGAATTTTTTGAATTAAACTGATAAAAATGCTTCTATTAATAAACCTGTAAAGCAGAAAAGTAGTGACTAAAACTAAAAAATTATTTTTGTTTTATGTTTCCTTGGCTTCGTATCCCTGTGAGTTCACATTCATCTCTGCCTTAAAGCTTTTGCAAGCGTGTAAATAGTATGGAAAAATTTTAGTGAAGCTGTTTCAACTTCATATTAGTACATCACTCACCACGCACACAATTCAAAGTTTGCTTGATTAGATGTTTGGCTTTAGGCGCAACAGGAACTCCAAAAACCTTAAGAGAATCAATTTGTGAGAAAAATGTGCCTTTAGTAAATATACTAGTTAACTGTAACTAGTATGTACTGCTGCGATTATCTGTGCTATCTAATAATCAGACTTCAAGGAGAGTTTCTTTAGTAAGATTTTTTTGTAAGATTCTCGACTAGAAATGGATTGACCTGGAGATGCATACCCATATCTCTTGCTCCCAGTTGTAGGCTGTATATTGGGCTTCTAACTTAGATGCCTCACGTAGCTGTTCATAATTCAGCTGAGAGCATTCAGGGATCAGAGCTGAAGAAATTTGTCTATTCTAAAAGCAAAGACTAGAGTGAACTTAACTATCATGAAAGAGACTTTCCCTCTTCAGATGTCTTAACCTACTAGCAAACTGAATTTACTATGTTCTAGCTTTTTGATCTGAAAAGTTTTTTTCCCTAGACTTATATAGCGTTTACTCCCAAACTATGAATGGTGGTGATGATAGGTGCAGAGCCTAAAGTACTTTGTGGAATTCAGAGGGTAGATGCGTACGAATAGTGGATCCTGGGTAGCGGACAAATGAGTTTGTTTCTCTTACTTCCCAGGTGTCAGACTCCAAAAGGAGCAGGACATTGTCATCTTCCCTGGGTTAGCATCCTCTGTTAGCTAGACTGCCTTGGAGATTTGCGCAGCCTCCAGAATTTTTTACTTACTCTTTTCTACATAATGGCCATGTTGGATCATACTTAAGGCAACTGAGCTTTTGGCAGTTCCTTATTTGTCACATAGAGAGTGTTTATTTGTAGAACAGGAGTAATACTGCTCCTTTACTTTCCAAGAAAAACTAATATGTTCAAAACTGCAAATATTTTAAGCACTGTTACAAATTCCAGTATGTTAGTGTTTCCTGAAGTAAAAATACAAACTTTTTTTAAAAAAAGTTGAAAATTTGTTACCATCTTAGATTTTCTAAAAAGTTTGACTCTCTTGTAGTCTCATACTTTCATGAAGGAATCAGAATCTATGCAACCAAGACAAAAACTGAGAAGCATCCTGCCTCTTCAGAGTCTGCAAGTGTTGGTGCTGCTGTTCTAATTTTAGTTTGTAAAAAAGCTGATTTAATCAAAGTACTGATGATAAACAGTTCTGAGCAAAAAAGTTAAATGCACTGCAAAGGTTCTTGCTTACCATGAACATGGGGAGGATGAGTTGCAACCCACAGTTCCAGAAGTTGATTTTAAGATTTTATTTTTTTTTTAAGAGAAAGAAACAGACTACTACATTGGTGATGATTCACAGTGGCGAAGTACTTGATGCAATGTGTGTAGTTCCAAATACTTCTATTGGGGAAAAATAGAAGTGCCTCAAGTATCAGTAATAGATGGAATCTAACCAAATATTTTAAGAAAGTTGTGTTACAGTTTTCTCACAGTTTTACAGTGGTGCTGAATACTGAATGTGTAGCATCTTGGTTTAGAAGAAACATTGGAGGCATCTGGATAATGATGCCCAGAAAAATGCTGCTGAAAATTCGTGATGAGGTTGAGCTTTTTTTCCTAAACGGGCAGTTACTAAAAACAGTTAACATGGATCATAGACTCATAGAATGGTTTGGGTTAGGAGGAACCTTCAAGATCAACTAGTTCCAACCCACCTGCCATGGGCAGGGACACCCTCCACTGCACCAGGTTGCCCAAAGCCTCATCCAACCCCTGCAATGAAACTTTCCCGGGGAGCGGCCAGCCACATCTTCTCTTGGCAGCCTGTTCCAGTGCCTCACCACCCTCAGAGTGAAGAATTTCTTCCTTCTATCTAATCTAAATCCATTGCTTCTTGTCCTATCACTACACGCCCTTGTAAAAAGTCCCTCTCCAGCTTTTCTTTAGGCCCCCTTTAAGTACTGGAAGGCTGATATAAGATCACCCCGGAGCCTTCTCTTCTCTTCTCCAGGCTGGACAGCTCCAACTCTCTCAGTCTGTCTTCATAGCAGAGGTGCTCCAGCCCTTGGGTAATCTTCATGGCCTTCCTCTGGGCTTGCTTCAACAGCTCCATGTCCTTCTTATGTTGGGGGCCCCAGAGCTGAAGGCAGTACTGCAGGTGGAGTCTCACGAGAGCAGAGTAGAGGGGCAGAATCATTTCCCTCGACCTGCTGGCCACACTCCTTTGGATGCAGCCCAGAACACAGTTGGCTTTCTGGGCTGCCAGCACACATTGCTGGCTCATGTTGAGCTTCTCATCCACCAGCACCCCCAAGTCCTTTTCCTCAGGACTGCTCTCAATCCATTCTCCACCCAGCCTGTACTTGTGCTTGGGATTGCCCTGACCCACGTGCAGGACCTTGCACTTGGCCTTGTTGAACTTCATGAGGTTCTCACAGGCCCACCTCTCCAGCCTGTCAAGGTCCCTCTGGATGGCATCCCTTCCCTCCAGCAGATCAACCACACCACGCAGTTTGGTGTCATCAGCAAACTTGCTGAGGGTGCACTCGATCCCACTGTCCATGTCACCAACAAAGGTGTTAAACAGCACCGGCCCCAGTACTGACCCCTGAGGAACACCACTCATCACTGTCCTCCACTTGGGCATCGAACCATTGACCGCAACTCTTTGAGTGTGACCATCCAGCCAATTCCTTATCCACCGAGTGGTCCGTCCGTCAAATCCATGTCTCTCCAGTTTAGAGACAAGGATGTTGTGTGGGACAGTATCAAATGCTTTGGACAAGTCCAGGTAGATGATGTCAGGATCCTTCTCTGAAGAGTTTCCAACTCAGATTTGGTCTTATTTGATGCTTTGTTTCAACAGGTAACTAATGAGTTAGATGTAAAGAAAGAAACTAAACACTTTGGAAGCTTCAAAATGGACTTGACTTTTTAATGCTGTTGGGATAAGTGAGGATGCATGCAGAATGGCTGATGAAATGGAAGCATGCGTTGATGTTACAGTCACTGTGATTTGTGTGCATTGCTTATGTCAGCTAGATATCTGAATGGGAAGAAGTCTAGGTGTCAGGCTTATTACTGGTAATTTGGTGGAAGGTGACAAACATAATTTAGGGCTTTCAGGATTCTTTTTTTTTTATAATTCAAATTACAGTAAGTTCATTTTACAGGAAGATACAGAGAGGACCCAAATTAACGTTCTTGCAGTACAAGCCATAACTTCCTTGGTGCTGAGTGCAATGACAATACCTGTTGCAGGCAATCCAGCAGTTAGCTGTTTGGAACAGCAGCCCCGCAACAAAGCTTTAAAAGCTCTGGACACAAGGTATTTTTTTACTTGCTCTGAAATGCATAGAATTTATATTTGTAATTAATACTTAATTACTATTGCTTAGTCTAGTTATAGCAAAAATAGATATAGACTGTATTTTCTAAGTGAGAGTGTATACAGCTGCATCTGTTTACACAGAAGATACATTGACCTAGCATCACAAACCTCCTGAGTTAAAAGATAATATCTTACTAAAATCTATAAACAGTGTGCAGAATGTATTCTTCACATGTCTCAGTTTTAGTGTCCCTGATAATGTAAATAAGCATAGACACATAACTTTGTAGAGTAAGCTAGTCAGACTTGCACAAAAATGTTAAAGGGAAAATCTGCTTAAATTGATTTTTTTTGTTGGGCTTTCAGGTTTGGGAGGAAGCTAAGTGTTATCAGGGGAATTGTTGAACAGGAAATCCAAGCAATGGTATCTAAGAGAGATAATATTGCTACTCATCACTTATACCAAGCTTGGGACCCTGTTCCATCGCTTTCTCCTGCTACTACAGGTAAGTGCCTGTGTGTGAGGGGAAGGGGAGAGTGAATTCCTTTTACACTTAAAAAGTAGAAATGATACTCTTAGGAATTTATTTGAAATCCAGTTTGCAGGAAATGAAGCCATTTTCATAATTACTTTGTTTTAAAAACTTGTCTTCTATTTTGTTATAGGTGCTCTTATCAGCCATGAAAAACTCTTACTACAGATCAATACTGAACGAGAAATAGGAGATATGGATTATAAACTGGGACAGGTTTGTTAAAACCCTAACTTTGAACTTGACTTTTATTACATTTCTTCCAGTTTATAAAAATTCCGTTAAGAGACATTGCTTAACGTCAGATGTAAACTGAAAGCTCTGAGTGATGCAGGGTGCATCATAAGTGAGTGACTCCTCTCAGCCAACTGTCCCACCTCTCTTGGAATTTTTGCTTGTCTATGAGGTCTACCTGTGAGACAGCTATTGAGTTATACTCTACAGCCTTGTGTGTTAAAGAGCTCTTGAAGTCTTAGCTTCCACTTTAAGTATTGGATTTTAATTTGCTATTGCATGCTTGCAGTAGTCCTTAAGAAATGAAAAATCACTGGACATAAAGTAAGTGATGTTGCTTTAATTTTAAATAAGCACAGTGTAGGGACATAAATTTAACTGAATGATGTTAGTTGGAAAATTAGCACTACATACAGTGAATAAAAAAATAGTACTTATCCAGTTATCTATCTATATCTTGAAAAATTAGTCTTTACATAAAGTTAAATTTAAGTTTTAAATGTAGTATTTGTTTCGCTATTTGAATAGTATGTATTAGTTAAAAAAACTTAGATACTAAACTCAGATGACATTTTTCTTGAGTAATCTTTCACATAGGGAGGACCAATCAGCCACTTGTCTGTGTCTAGGCATCTGTTCTCTTGAGGTTCTAAATGGCTTGAGTGTTCAGTGATTTGCAGGTTTACAAACCCTACATATTATTTACAAAATACGTTAGCTCTATAAAAATCCAAAACATTAGACATCCTACTTGAAAAATAAATAAATGTATGTATGTTTTTGCTTAACATGAAGAAGAATTCTATGTAAGAGTGAATTTTTGTCTAAAGTCTTGAGCCATGTAAGATAAGTAACTTTAGAGGAAAAAGTAAGACCTGTATTGAAACACAGGAAGGGCTGATTTTTATTTTGGAATCTTCAGACAGATTATTTCTGAAATGCCATCGGCAGGTCTTACTGTTCTGAAACTTTGATTTTTATAAAGAAAACTTAAATAACTAAGAAGTTTTCTTCTTTGTAGGTAATTGTTTATCTAGGCTGAGTCAAAGGATTTGAAATCTTAGTCTTATCTCATTTCAGAAGAATGGTTATACTGCAATCAGATATGCTGAGTTATGGTTTTAGAATATGGTTTTAGATGAGTTAGGAATGTGTTCTGTTGAACTGCAGTCATTACAGTTCTTTCTGAATTACTTTATTGCTTAATATAAGTTGTAAATATTTATACTTTAGATTTTAGATCCGATATGTTGACTTTGGGATGATGCATGCACGTTGTTAGTGCATGCTTACAGGTTATAGCCAGGAGCTACTTTCAGCATCACCTGTATTGCTGTACTAAGCACATGGTGCTACTGTTTTTGCTGCACTGTACAATTTACAGTGAGTTAAACTAAAATATTGAAAAAGGTTAAAAAAAATAAATAAAAATAAGTGATGTGCAGGTCATGTGAATGTTATTTAAGGCTGTGTTACCTGTCATTTAAATGAAAAGTGTATTGGATTTCTAAATTATTTTTTTTCTAATCTGACTACAAGGGTGTTAAATGTTGTGCTTCTTTTCTATTTGTTGTTTGGTTTTTGTTTTCTGTTTGGCTTTTTTTGTGTTGCAAGGTCTCTATACACTCCATATGGTTAGGAAATAATATCACTCCGTTGAGAGAAGAGGAGTGGGGTGAGGATGAAGAAGATGAGAATGACATACCTGCTCCTTCCTCACCACCAACCTCTCCTGTTAACACCAGGTGTCTTATTTTCTTCTTATCTCTCCTTTGACTTACCAATAAGCTTTTATCTCTTCATGCTGAGTTCTGTAAGCTGGGTTTATAAACTAGGCACTGGTAAATAACTGTATTATTTCAGTCAAGTATTTTAGCAGGGCTTAAGAGTAGCCATTTTAACACTTGCTTATTGTACCTTGCAGGAAACACCGGGCTGGTGTAGATATACATTCTTGTTCTCAGTTCTTGCTTGAGCTGTATAGTCAGTGGATATTGCCATCAAACCCTAGCAAGAGAACACCAGTCATTTTGATTAGCGAAGTGGTGCGATCAGTAAGTCTAAACTATTATCAAGAGTCATAATTGAGTATATGTTACCAAATGTTCAGATCTAAGAAGCACTTGTAAAGCATTTTTTAATGTATGGGAAACACTGATTTTTCTTGGCAGTGCTATTAAATGGACAGTCCAGAAATATAATTTGATCAACTAATAGCATAATACTAATTTAAACTCTGTAAGCATCTGGATTGCTTATTCTGCTACTACATTGTAAACACTTCTGTCGCTTAATGATAGTCGGTATCTTGTTTGACTACTTGCTAAAAGTAGATTTCAGGATTTTGCTTATCCTGTCTCTTGGTAAGAAAATAAAGATGGAACAACAGTGTATTAGAGGATTAGATTAACTGTTGAAGTGTAGAAGCAATACTAAAGAACACAGGTGTGGAATGAGTCTTGATAGCCATTATTCACAATCATAGAAGACTTTAAATGAAACTATCCTTGCAAGAGAGTATGTATTGTGTGTTTTGGGGTGTTTTAGTACATTGTAAATGGCAGTGCTTGTTAATTTTCCAGAATTACTTGCTATTGTGGATTTGATTTTTTTAAAACTTTTTGGGAAAAAAGGACCATTTGGAGGTGATTGTTATCTGAGATGGATGGCAGAAATAATTCTGGACAATAGTTATTCCAGACACTTGAGTTAATGTTTATACATTTAGACAAATTGAGGAATCTTTTTGCTGACAATTAAAATAGAGGAAGAGTCAATTTTTGACTGTCTACTAATGAGCTTTTTTATGTTAAATTTTTATTGTGTACAGCTTCTGGCAGTATCAGATTTATTTACAGAAAGGAATCAGTTTGAGATGATGTATACAACATTGACAGAATTGCGAAAGGTGCATCCATCCGAAGATGAGATTCTTGTACAGTATTTGATACCAGCCACTTGTAAAGCTGCTGCTGTTCTTGGAATGGTAAGAAATTCTCGTGGAAGTTTGTTGTAAATTGGTGAGTGTCTAGGTTAACTCATCCTTAGCTTCTGCTGCAGAAGTCTGATGTGCTTGGTAAGAGTGGTTTGTCTCTTAAGAAAATCCCTTAGCTCATCTACATGGCTAGAAGGAGTAATAGGATGTGTGTTCTGGGCTTTCAGAGGTTGCAAACATCATCTCTAGTTGCCCCATATTCAAACAGAAAGGTAGTTTGGTTTGGGGTCTCTTTGAGGTTTGAGCTTAATGTGCTCTTTGGTTTATCTTGCTCAGTTGAGTGTTACCTTTGCCGTGGACTCATTTGTTGCATTTCAAGCCAGAAGTGAGGACTGTGGAACAGCTATGGCTAGATTTGCGTTACAGGTGAACGGCTGTAAACTCATGAGAGACTGTGACAGTGCATGTGATAAATAGCTTGATGGTCAGGTGTCCCTTTTCTTTCTCTCTCTTCTCTCCGTTGCATTGTTCTGCATTTAGGGGAAGAACATTATTAATGCAAGCCGTTTAATGAAATGTGTTACTGTCGTTAAATCTGTAGACCAGAGAGCAGTTATCATTTTCCAATGGACATTTCAGAGTGCGATTATTTAGGAAAATGTTACAAATTCTTTCAGAAGAAGTTAGCATTTCTAGAAACTCTCTGTGAAACTAATATAAAACTATATGGGTAATCGTGATAAGAAAAGTTTTGAAATACTTTTGGGGTAGGGCTTCCAGGAGCTATTGTAGCAGCAACTGTGCAAGGGAAGACTCTGAAAGTGATGCCAAACATGCAGAAGCAGTTTTAGAGATCAACTTGTTCTGACTAGGCTGTAATTTCCCACTCAGTGAACTAATAACACCTTCTCACAAACAGAAGCTGAATATAACAGGTTAGTGGGAGGAAAACAAAAAGGTTGATTCCATCAAGAGTTGCTTGTTGTCCTGTGTGGATTTATGTAGAAAATCAGCTTAAAAAGAGTGACTAGAGAGCACACACTGTAAAACTGACCTGTATCTTAGATACTTCATGAATACAGGGACGAGGTAAAACAAATAATTTCTACTAAATGCTTGAAATAGATTGTAAGATAAAAAGACTTTTCAAAACCAACAGTTTAGAATAGATTTGGCTTATTCCAATAAACTGTTGTACTTTGATAACAGAGTGAAGTGTCTGATACCAGCTTGATGTTTGAGGGCTAAACATAGAATCATAGAATCGTTTAGGTTGGAAGAGACCCTTAACATCCTTGAGTCCAATTGTTAACCTAGCAGTTTCAAGTCCATCAATAAACCATGTCCCGAAGCACCACATCTACATGTCTTTTAAATACCTCAAGGGATGGTGACACAACCACTTCCTTGGGCAGCCTGTTCCAATGCTTGACAACCCTTTTGGTGAAGATGTTTTTCCTATATGCAATCTAAACCTCCTCTAGTGCAACTTGAGGCCATTTCCGCTTGTCCTGTCGCTTGTTACTTGGGAGAAGAGACCAACACCGACCTTTCTACCACCTCCTTTCAGGTAGTTGTAGAGAGCAATAAGGTCTCCCCTCAGCCTCCATTTCTTCAGGTTAAACAACCCCAGTTCCCTCAGCTGCTCCTCATAAGACCCTTCACCAGCATCATTGCCCTTCTTTGGATGCACGCTCCAGCACCTCAGGGTCTCTCTTGTAGTGAGGGGCCCAAAACTGAACACAGTATTTGAGGTATGGCCTCGCCAGTGCTGAGTACAGGGGGATGATCACTGCCTTAGTCCTGCTGGCCACACTATTTCTGATACAAGCCAGGATGCTCTTGGCTGCTTTGGCCACCCGATCACTCTGCTAGCTCATATTCAGCTGGCTGTCAACCAACACTACCAAGTTCTTTTCTGCCAGGCAGCTTTCCAGCCACTCTTCCCCAAGCCTTTAGCATTTCATGAGATTGTTGTGACCCAAGTGCAGGACCTAACAGTTGTACCTCATACCATTGATCCAGCCTGTCCAAATCCCTCTGTAGAGCCTTTCTACCCTCAAGCAGAGCAACACTCCCACACAGCTTGGTGTCATCTGTAAACATACTGAGGACACACTTGATCCCCTCATCCAGATCATAGGAGTGGTGGAGAGAAAGACATGTAGGTCTGAGTGCCAGTGGTCTTGGAAAACAAATAAATGGAATGCTGTATTATTAGTTGAGTGGATGGCAGAGTTTCTTTTGAATGTAGACTGTAGGCATTGACTACCAGTCGGTTTCAGACAGAAGCATCCTTTGTGGTTAGCTGGAAGGCCGGAAAATCCCAACCATCTATGTCTTATATGTAGAGGACGTATTATCTACTGAACTAATGCTTATCTTTGGGTTTTTTGGCTTTAAATCATGAGATAATTTTTTACAGGTCAAGTGACGTAGCATCAGTTTACTAGTTAATCTGCAAGTCATCTCTTACGTGATTATATTGATCTCATGACATTGATTCAAAGTAGTTTTAAGCCAGACCATGGCTCATGCCATATTTTCTGCTCTTTAATTTGTTCCAAGTATTTCCAAGTGACAGGAGTCACCAGTATTGAAGCAGTGTGGTTTTCTAATGAATACTGTCATTGGATGTATTAGGATAAAGCTGTGGCTGAACCAGTAAGTCGACTCCTGGAATCAACCCTAAGAAGCACCCATATGCCAAGTCGAATTGGAGCTCTGCATGGAATTCTTTATATCCTTGAGTGTGACTTGCTTGATGAGACAGCGAAGCAACTCATTCCAATTATCAGCGAGTATCTGCTCTCCAATTTGAGAGGAGTAGCACAGTAAGAGTCTCCTCCCCCTCCCCCCGAACTGGTGCATGCTTATGTGTGAACAAAAGGGCTCTTCATAGTTTGCTGTTGTCAGTACGTTTTAGAGCAGGCTGTTGTATCAAGCAGGTTTTGGCGTTGTCATTGAAATCTTACAAATGATGTTTATCAGCCAATTTTAGGGTAGATTTACAGAAGCGAAAGGATATTTGAGGTTGAGAAAACTCTTTGATAGCTCAGACTTTTGTCTTTTTGGTAAATTGTATTCCCTAAAACTTATTTTTCTGTTGATAGGCATACTCTTTAAATAAGACTTGCAGATCAGTAGTGAAGTTTATTTCTCCTAAACAAGTTCGGCAATGATAGCGTGTAATTAAATTGCTGAAAAAAATTCTTGTATTGCACTGGATTTCCATGATAACCAGTCCTCTATTATGGCATCTCAGTGATACTTTGTGTGATTTTAAAAATTGCATAAATTTTGTGAGGAAAAAATGCTGAATGTTTCTAAGAATTGTTTGTATAGTCTCTATTTATGACCTAGACAACTTTGATGTAAGTGACCACAGGTGTGTTTTGCTTATTTACAGTTGTGTGAATATCCATAACCAACAGCACATCTTGGTGATGTGTGCAGCTGCTTTCTATTTGATTGAGAATTACCCACTTGATGTAGGGCCTGAATTCTCTGCAGGAATTATACAGGTATGTTGTGATGCCTCCAGTCACAGGTGGTCATGTAACCCAGGATCACCACATGGCTGTCTTAGACACCTAAGCTGATTGTTGTGATGTAGTTATGTTTTTGGGCTTAGTTTCATCAGGTTTTCTTAACACCTGATGCATTCTAGCTGCAGTGCTGTGGTGCTAGAAGATGACCTGAATACACTCCAAAAACAGGTAGTTGGCTTTTTTCTTTCTTTCAGATGTGTGGAGTCATGGTGTCTGGAAGCGATGAATCGACGCCGTCCATTATTTATCACTGTGTCCTGAGAGGACTAGAACGACTCCTTCTTTCAGAGCAGCTTTCTAGGCTGGATAGTGAATCGCTAGTTAAACTGAGTGTTGACAGAGTGAATGTGCAGAGCCCTCACAGAGCAATGGCAGCACTTGGGTTAATGCTGACTTGCATGTACACAGGTATTTACTTTTTTATACCTTTGATGTGCTGAGAGACTAGCTTACTAACAGTGCTAGTTTTCTTTACTGTTATTACCAAGGATAAAAAGGTCTTATTTTTGCATTCACAGTAAACTTGTTACAAATTTTTTTTGTTTAGGAAAGGAAAAAATCAGCCCCAGTCGTACTACAGATGCAAATCCTGCTGCTCCTGACAGCGAATCTGTGATCGTAGCTATGGAACGAGTATCTGTCCTTTTTGATAGGTAAGAGGATCAAATACGTGTAACGGGGCACCAGGAGGGAAAGTATTCTGCTTGGCATTGTGTGGTCACCTCTCTATTTGACAGTTCTAATGTTTAATTAATGATGCTTCTCTGCTTACAGTTGCTTAAAATTGATACTTCTAGTATACACAGTAACACTGATGGAATTGCTGAAAGCCGCGCAAATGTACAGGAATGTAAATGGGAAACAGACATGCCCTAACTGATACTGTGTGTTGCTCAAACCATAATACTTTACAAATGTATTTCCAACTCCCTTCAGGTCAAACTCTTAAGTGCTTTTCAGGATGTCTTCTGCATAATCAAGGTTATAAATCCAGTTTACAGGAAGTAATCTTTCAAAATACCCTAAGAGTTTAAAACCTTTTTCCCTTTCTCCCACCCAAGTATTGCTCTTTCCGTTAAGTAACTGCAGCGAAAGGGTACAGTAAAACTTCTGTATTCACATGGAACTCATTTAGTGGAAATACTTCAAGACCTCTGTTTTGATCTGACAATCTCAAGCTGTCTTAAGTGAGCATACCATGTTAGATTTTGCGTAGCAGTTTGTGGGATAAAGTTTTACATTTTTTAAAGTGTTCAGTGGTTTTTCCATAAAACTGGGTGAGAGTTTCACTTCTGCACTCAGTGAGAACAGAACTAGATCAGTGCTTGAGTGCTTTTGAAAATATCACTCCTAAGAGTTGGCAAAGTAAACGTGAATACTCTAAGCAGAAAATAACTTTTGCAGGGAGCAATCACCGATGGTAACTTGATCTTTACACATCAACAGATGCAGCCTTTATTAGGAAGATTTTTCAATCAGGGTTATTTACGTAGAATTGTCTTTAAGCTGGAGTAGCTTTTCCTCGCTTTATAGTGCTGTGCAACTTCCTTTTCCTGTCTGATATATTGGTCTTCGTAGTCTTGAATAAAAAAATATGCAAAGATGTTATGAATGGAAATGAGTGTTCTGCTTATAAATGGTCTCTTCTCTGATAACTAGGAGTAGTGATCTCCCTGTCATTTTTTTATCCTCATTTACTTTTTTCAGCATTCCTGTTAAGTCTTGTCTCTGATGCAATTCCAGAGCTTCAAAACACATTGACTATTAAAAAAAAAGGCAGGGAAGGAAAGAGAGGACATGACACCTGTAGTAGGTGTAATAGCTTTGATAGACCTCCTTGAGTAGACTGCTGGAGTAACATTACATGAATCCTTGGATTCCTCAGTGTCGAAGACTCTTGCCTACCTACAGATGAAAGTAGAATGTTCTTTCTATTGTCAATTAAATTGGAGAAGTATGAGATACTTACTGGAATTCAATCATAAAACATGTTTTTTTATTATTTTCAGGATCAGGAAGGGATTTCCTTTTGAAGCTAGAGTAGTGGCTCGCATTCTTCCACAGTTCCTTGATGATTTTTTCCCCCCGCAAGATGTAATGAATAAAGTTATTGGAGAATTTTTATCCAATCAGCAGCCATACCCACAGTTCATGGCAACAGTAGTTTATAAGGTAATGTTTGGGGTTTTTTTTCTTAAATGTTTCAGAAGATTTCTAATGACTGACAGCTCAGAGGGGCAAATATCAATTTTATTAGATCTAACAAATCATTTGCAGTGATTGAGCTGTACTGCTGTGAGCTTTGCCTACAGGCTTCATGTCACCTGGATGACAGAGCGCACAGCTGTAGAGTTCAGTCACTGATAATGGGAAAAGAAAGAGAAAATTAATAGTTGGGATCCTGGTACTCAGTCTCTTTAGATCTCGTGAAGCCAGTCCAGGTCATCTGGCTGTGTGAACTCTACAGTCAAGCTCCTGTGGACTCAGTTGGGCTTCTGGGTATTTTGCTTTTCAGGACCTACTTACTGGACTCATGCATCACTTGAGAGTGCATGTGCATACCACACTTCATCTGTAAAAATAGAGACACCAGACAAATCTTGCATTTCTGTGCACTTACGTCAGTTTATCACAGATGTCGTGAATCCAGTTTGATCCTGGCTGACTGTTGCAGAATCTGTCTAGGCATTGTGTTTGTTAATTCTTTAGAGAGTTGTCTCCAGGAATCTGGTTTGTCAACCTCAGAGCTTTGTAGCTGGGGAGAGCCTTTACAAGATAAAGTACCCTCTTTCCCATGTCCATCTACTGTGTCTTTATCTGTGTGTAAAATATTTTTTGCAGGTATTCCAGACGCTACATAGCACTGGACAGTCCTCAATGGTCCGTGACTGGGTGATGCTGTCTCTCTCTAATTTCACACAAAGAACACCTGTGGCAATGGCAATGTGGAGCCTTTCCTGTTTTTTTGTCAGTGCTTCCACCAGTCAATGGATTTCAGCAATGTATCCTTAAAAAGACTGAATGTGTGCCATTTCTGGCTAAATCTAGCAATTCGTTAAAGGACATTGATAGTCTTGAAGGGTAACAGTACAAGTTTAACACAAAAAAAAAAAGACAGATTTACTACAGTTAGTAGTGGTGTATATCACTTTGGTTGGTTCCTCAGGTTTGAGGGGAAAAAAAACTTCTTAATAGATTATGAGAAAGAAGTTACCCAAAACTACTGTTTTAAGATCCATTCCTTGTGACTATGCAAGATGATTGGGCAAGTCCTTTACCTTGAAGGACTCTTTAGAAGCTTCACCAGATAGCTTTGAAGTGACTTTAAAATATTTGTTCTGTATTCCTTCTGCAAGATAAAATATATTTTTTTTTAAAAAGAGAACAAACTCAATTAAAGAAAATTATCTTCTGCATACAAACTGTATTTTGCAAGTGTGCCCCTGGAGGTGCACTGCAGTAATAGTGAGCTTTGGCAATGGAATGACATCAGCCAAGTAAGTTGGAACATCCAAAAGACATAGGTGGTATCAGTGCGGGATTTGTTTAAAAACAAAGCCCCAAGCAAACAGACAACTGTTGCGTTTCATGATCAGGAAGAAAAGTGGCCATACGTTGTGTTTCAAACTTCCTAATGACTCTTACTCTCAGCAATGCTTTTTGGCCATCAGCAGTGTGACTGTGGTGCTGATTGTACTGTTTGCGCCAGTGGATAAAGAAAACTACTGCTAGGTTAAAATGAATTTGGAGGCCTAAGAAATTTTGTGTAGTTAATGAATAAATAGGATTTCTGTAGTAGCAGTTTAATTGATACATGACAGTGTTTTGGTTGGCAAGCTCAAAAATACACCATGTTATTGGAGAACAGTGTTTGAAGTTGCTATACCAAAAGATGAGCAACTTCTGTCTTACTATGACCTTAACTTATAATTCAGTCTTCCGCATATTATCAGCAGAATGGGAAAATCTGAGCAAGTGGATGTTAACATCTTCTGTTTGGTGGCCATAGACTTTTACCGACATCAGATAGATGAAGAATTAGATCGGAGGGCCTTTCAGTCGGTGTTTGAGGTGGTAGCATCTCCAGGAACCCCATATCATCGCCTACTAACTTGTTTGCAAAATGTCCACAAGGTCACAGCATGTTGAACATCCTGATGTGTAATGGAACTGCATGAGTAGTGTTGGAATCCGATACGAGTTATGGGGAATGCAAGATCAAGAAAGTCTGTGGGGTTGCATTTGTGATAAATATGGACCTGCCAGTTTTACTTTCAGAATGCATGGACAAGTGTTCTGCAGCACTGGAAATCACCTGGAAAGTCTAGTGTAGTTCTTCTTGATGTTGTTGTTGACACTGGGCACCTATGAGGGCAAAGTAATATGTCAACATTTTTCAAGTGGTGTTTGGGACTAACCTGAGACGTGATTACTAACTGAAATGTGAGCAAGTACTACAATGCAAGGTAACTGGTGTTACTCTTCTTCCTCATGTTCAGCTGAAGGCACTGTGTTGCAGCCAGTAAGAAACTGACAGGAAGGCTGTTACTGCAAGCTGCAGTCATTAGAAAATGTCATAGTTTTATGTACCTGTATATACTGTTGTGTAGTACAGAATAGAAATTGTTTCCTAATGTCTCTCCCAAACAAAGAAAAGAGAAAGTGACTTTTATGAGTTACACTTCCAGCATGTAATTCCTCTCTGGACTTTCTGACATCCTGTGGTGTATGTGTTGGTGATATCGGAGATATAGTGCACATACGTAACCACACATTTTTCTTTTTTCTTCTCAGGATTTAAAATTTGAGTACAGTATATCAGTAAAAGAAATTTTAACTTAAATATTTCTATATCATGTACAGTATGTAAAATTGTAAGATGTGTGGTGCATGAGCTGTGCTGTAATTTGAGATGAACAGAAGCCACGCTACTGAATGTCTTGACATCTGTATTGTCCTCATTTTTTTGTCTTGTGCTCGAATTCATGTTCCTTTTGGAAATCCATCTTAATGTACAGATTACATCTTGTTTTGCATCTCATTTTTTCTTAAAGTGCTTTAAAACTGGAATATGTTGATTAATTTGTCTTGAGAGGCTGTACTAAGGAGGTGGTGTTGTGATCCGCTTTACTGTAGCTTCTTTTGAATTCCTTTATTTTGAGACATAACAGTAAAAGAGAGGACTAGTTACTCTGGATCAGCCTTTTGTATACTTAAGAAACTGCTCTTATTTGCTGCACAGCATTTTAAGAGACAAAATGGTGCAAGCTCCGCAGTAGTCAATAACCATTTGACCATTCCTAACTGAGACCATGGAGTCATCTGGATTCAAACCACTCTCATTTAAAAAAAGTTATGGTAGCAGTTAAGAACCAGAAGGCTGCTGTGGTCTGCTTTGGGACTGGCTAAGGTGTTACATTACGCAACCTCTTTTATTTCCTACTGTATACATAATGCTTTAGACACAAGCACAGTACAAATATCCATGAATTCCAGGACTTCACACAGGGCCAGATTTAGCTTTTACTTACCACCCAGGGAACCCCATTGATTCTTAAGCATTACATAGGGAAATCTAGCACAGCATTTGTCTTTAGTTGTGTTTGTTATAGTTCTTTAATTATAGAGAAATGATACCTTGGTTCTCAGTCACATCCTATATTTAATCTCTCTTCATTTTCTTATCACACCTTTTGGTGACACTTGGAAAAATGAGATAGTGTTGTCAGGAGGAGCATGTACTGTATGTATTTCTGTATATAATGTATATGTTGAAATTATACACATGTGAGAACATTTAATGTATACAAATGTGTATATTTGTATTTATTAAACCCATGTATTTAAGGTAATTCAATCTAGACCAAAAATTGTTGCTTCTGCCCATAAATTGATTACAAAGGAATTGTCCACTGGTGTCACTTCCTTTTATGGTAGGTGAAACCGATGGTATGGGCAGTAGAAACAACTGTAGATGTTGCTGTATTTAGCTCTCTACAGATCTTACTATCTAGAGCAGTTATTTCTGCCCTTAGTTGGGTTACTTTTCTTTCTTGGGCCACAGCACTGTGGTGGTTTTTAAAAGAAACTGAACAGGAGTTCAGAAAAAGGTTTAATAAAATAGATGCTGTTTGAAAGTTTTTGTGTTATATTGGAAATTATCCTAATTCTGGTAAGAGACTAATTCAAGGCAGTGAGATATAATGCCCTGTGCATTCATTAAGGGTAGTATAGATCACTTTTCCCTTTTGTAACCACCAGTAATCGTTTTGTATGGTAAACCCACACGCCAGTCAATTTTTGTATGATATATAGTTTAAGTGAAGATATTTTTGTAAGCTATTTTCCAAAATTTAAAATAGATTTTAATATATTTTTTAAACATCAGGTTAGTCATATTCTCACCATATAACAGTATATGTTGCGTTACAAACTGTTAAATTCTTCATTACTTTAAGCTCCTCATGATTAACACAGAATGGCTGGTTACTTTACCTTGGGAAAACGGGAGCTAGCCCCTTTCTGAAACTTTCCAAACCAATTTGGGACTCTATCATAGAATCTTTCCAACCAGTGAAGAAATACATTAAATTAAGCAGTCAGCATGGCTGGATGAAAAACATCAGATGTGACAGACCCCCCCTCCCTCAAAGGCCGGTTGCTGGCCTTCAAGCAAGTATTTGCGTTACCTGTTTCTAGTCAAGTTTTAGAGCTGATGCAGTCCTTGCCCCACACAGATTCACCAGTAGTAATAACTCCATCTGTTTTAACTTCTCTTGGAGATTTGTTGTAGTATACCTCCTGAAACACATGTTCCAAGTGTTTAAAGAAGGGCACCTCCTCTTAGGAAATTCTCAGTGACCTGAAGGGACTGTAACTTAAGAGTCTTCTAGTGTGGATACACACATGGATAGTGCTTCAGATCTAATGCAGCATGCTTTCCTGTCCACTTCCTAGACACGATTTCCCTCACTTCTTTTGGAGTGAAATCATATTTAAAATCAATTCTGCTTGCTTCTAGTGACAAGAGCAAGAGCTATGCGATGGGGACAGTAACAGTGAAACAATGGTCACCAAGAAATACTAATGTTGGATTTAAAGCAAAAAAAATAAACAAACTTGTCCTTTGAGATTGACTGAAGGAGAAGTTTTATTTCACAGAATGTTTTTAACTTGCTGTAGACAGAAAGCTAATTCTGAAAATCAAGCTGTTCAGTTTTTCATTGAGAACAGGGTAGAAATACGCTTTGCCTAAGGTTTACATTTGGTGTCCTGGCTGACCAAAGCAAACAGTTTCTTTAATGTGCTCTGCAGTGGAACTGACTTCTTGACAGCCTTGCAGGATTAGAGGTATGGCATGATTGGGAGCATACTTAAGACAGATTAGTGTTGAAAACTTTGTTTACAATTCAGTTGTCAAAGAACATACTTTACTAAATCTGTAATGTGGCCCTCCTTTAAGAACGCTGTATGCTGGCCAACTTTTTATAAACAGTTTTGGGGCCAGCTACCCACTGGCCCTTTAAATAAAGTTTGATTGTGTTTCATTTCAGCGTGCCCCTTCCTTTGCACTGGGTGCAAGAGTGAGGAGTTGGAAACTGCAGCCCATTGTAAAGCAGTTCTTATTTGCAAGATTCAAAGTATTTGCTTTACTATTTATGCTCTTTGCCAGTTGAGATTGAATTTGAGTTTATTTAATCTCTAAAGCATATACTCAGATGTCATGGCTTGCCTAAGGCAT